AGCAATTGTTGTGTTGACGCGCTTGCTGGATGGGAGTGCCAAGCCCCAAACGGAGAAGGTGCCGGATCGTCACACCTCAACCTCACCAGGCCTTCAACACGTTTGTAACCGTCTCACGAAGAAAAGACGCCTCACAGGGCGCAGTCCCCCATTGTACTGCCTCTTTCAGGCCCTCGATACAATCAGTAATCCACCATTTATGGGCATGGTGGCGCTGATACGGTCATCTCAGAAGAGGCTTTGCGGATGACCTCGCTGACTACATGTCTCACAGATGAAGACCATCAAGATGCGAGGAGGTTACAATCAACCTACAGGGCACGAATCAGCTCAGGCCAGCTCACCAGGCCAGCTACCGCTGTTCTATTCTCAAAACATTTACATCCCCTCATATCTCAGAACGAATTTGCGAAAGCTTTTCAATTTGCACTCGACCGCACGTGTATACCTCTCATGAGCGAACAATGGCCCTATGGAAAGCCAGATCGGTTGTGTAAAGCCTTAGTGGCTTCTGTTTCACTGGCTACATCCAACAGAAGTCTATCATAGCCATCTTTCGGCTTTCCAACTCCTCAATAACCTTTTCAAATATAGCTTTGTACCGCTCCGTGTCGAAAGTTCCTGGTAAGTAATCCCAACGTGGGGGGGAGGCCCTGATGCACAAGCGTCCACCATACCTCTCCATGGGTTCCGCGGCTGTAAGCATTATGTACCGTAAGTGTACCGGGATGGCTTCCCAATCTTTCTCATGCATCTTCTTGCAGTTGTGCCGAACGCGTCCCAATATATGGCTCGGCCAAATGGTAAGATGCACTGTGTCGTAGAAACCTGCGAGGGGTACACCGAAAGCGTGTGAGTGTGCTGTACCGAAGTGGAAAAGTGCGTTGGAATCGACAAAGATCGTACGCGCTGTCTTCCTTGCAATTTTGTATCTCGCTCGCTCTACGAGAGCGGCTACCATTTCCGGATGTGCATATTTGGGCTTCATGAAGTGCGGCGTGTCGAAAACCGGGTACGGCAGCTCAAGGTTTCCGGTCCTTCGATGGTCCCACTCTACTGCTGTCGAGTCTATCCCAGCCCGTGCTAACTTCAGTATTTGATTATGCAGGCTACGTTCCTTCCAAAAGGTGGGACATTGGCCGATGGTACCTTGGGTGGCTTCTCTGGCAATACGGTCACCCCACTGAACTTCCAAGTTGATGTGGGATTGTATACCATTCTGCAGGCTCACCCTATCCTGGGTATAAAGCACATATGGCTTAAATTTGTGATCAGGCACATACGGCTTATACCTCCGACCGAGCAAGTGATCGAAAACGAGGTCCTGGAGTTCCCGCGGCAGAGCATTGACCCTTGATGTGAGCGAGCGACAACTGCTGTAAGCATATCCAGTCAGGTCTGCGTTTTTCATGATCGAACAAATGGCTCTGCGATAGCGTTAGCTTCATGTTCTCCGTACGGTAATCTCTCATCTCAGCCTTACTTGTTGCATATGGATAGCTGCCGCTTCAAACACTGAAGCATCCATCGGTAGGTCTTCCTTGTTCTACAAGCATTTGGAAATTCCAGGTCCCCAGGTCTCCTCAATCGCCGCATTTTCTTCGTCACCTCTCTCACTTTTTCTCTCATGGATAGAACACGCGCGCTGAAGACTCGCTGGATGGCCAGGAGACGCTTCCATCTTTTGACAACGGCGGGGGTGAAGCCTATTGCCTCGTTCAGTTCTGGGTCGTACGGGATGATGCAGCTCGTTTGGCGAGGATAATAGTAAGTGGGGATGAAGATAGACATATTGGTCAAATGTTCACGGCTGAACGATCTCAAGTGCAGAATTTGTACTTTCGACTTGACTCACAAGTCATGTACCGTACCATGGTCGACCAAATCTCATCGCGATAACCATGGTACTACGACGACCCATCGCCGACAAGCCACTCATGACTTGGGAAAATCATACTACAGCTATACTTTCACGACCTTTTAGATGAGGGATGACTAGTACGGACCTACTTACCTTTTCGCACATTCAATTCTGTTAGTACTGCCGTCTCTGATGATGGGGATTACAGATATCCTTTCATAGACTGCAAAGAAATGCACTGACAGTGAAACACGTCTCTTCTATTGCGACTTCGCCGTAAGCTCTCACGGACCATCAAGGAGTGCCTATTTTTGCCTGCAGGATTGGGAGTAATGAACAGTAGACCACAGTAGGCCGCAGTAGCCTGTAATTGTGCCCACACATATAAGCCGTGGGTTTTACGCTTCCTTGCCTGCTCGCTCGACGGTCTCTTTCTCCTCAACACTAGGAGAATCCAATCGCTGTTGTCTCACACGCGCATCAGTACACTACTCCAGCGATTTCGACATCGGCCCGCTATGCCACCAGAACTATCACCAAGGGCCACTCCAGTCATGGCCGCGCCCTCGACACTGTCCAACAGCATACCTTCGAACACGTCCTCGAGCATTCTGTTCCGTCTTCCTGCCGAACTACGGCAAATCATCTTCTCGTATCTTGGGTACCCCGTTGGAGGACATATATGGATTGACTGTGACGATTACCCTAGCCGCAGAGATGCTGTTCGACGTGCTGTTCGACAGAAATATGGGGCCCACGCAGACGAAAGTAAAATCGAAGTGCGTCAAAAGATTGCAAAGGTGCGATTTGATGACTGTTATCAAAGCAAGGGTTTGTCGGCTCATATCGAACTTACGCCCCGGCAAATGTACGGTACTCCAATAACAGGACCAAGTCTACTGAGGGTAAATAGAGAACTCCGGACGGAGCTGATGGACCTGTTATTTGGAGCCAATGACGTAGAGTTTTATGGGCCCTTGACAGACGATACCGCCTTCCAGTTCGACACAAGCCCTCCGCCACGTTGCGTGATCGAACCGAGATGCTTAGTTCTGCTGCCTTCGACGCTAACACATATGAGTTCCGTCACTCTACTCGGCAGTTGCCAAGGCCATACAGGGCGCGAGAACGCATGGAAAGAAGACTGTCAGTCTCTTCGGTTCATCGCTAAGCACGCTATTAATTTGCGCTGCCTGACTTACAGTATATGGGAAGGTTCGTTTTACCGGATGTCTACCGAAGGCATCATGGCGCTAGTTCAGACGATTCGGGAGGTCACGGTAACCGCAAAGGAACTCGAGAGAGTAAGAATTTTGTGGACAAGTCGTTTTGGCTTTTCTGAGAAAACATGGAAGAAGGAGATTATGGTTTTAGACAAACCCCAATGGGTTGCGGTTGTGCTTAAGGTTTGGCAGATTCTGGATGGACTTAGGGACGAAGAGGAATCTCGCTCGGAGCGTTATGAGGCTGAAATAGCTATGGAGTACTTTCGGATCCTTCCACGTAGACGTCTATGAGACGGAGTTTAGCGATTGCGGTAGCTGTATACAGCGAATACAAAGGCGTCTGGGTGCTGTTTCTTCATTGAGATTATACTACAGAAGTCATCCTGTTCACCTGCACATCTTCCAGCTTTTGTAAAGCGAGAGTGTCAAACAACTAACCTCCGCCGGGTAGAAGGGCAAACGAATAAGCGTCAGACTTGGCGCTCCCATTACCAACGGAATCTCTCACGGACCGTGCGGGCTTTGTTGCCTGCACGAGTTGCGAATACCTCGCAACAGGCAGTAATAGCCCGTGCCCGCCCGCGTACTCTCATAAAATCCGCCATGAATGAGGCACTTCCTCATCTTTCGCACCCAACCGTCAACACACACGATAAAAATTAAGCCACGAAAATCTCACTTAACTCTCCAGTGCAACACCATAGCACCTTCGCATCACGGCCTCCTCAATCATGGCACCAGTACTACGATCGATGACCAAGTCGGCTCTTGTGGTACCCTCGCCGCCGCCCACCGTCGCGTCTACGAATGCGCCTCCGGATCTCTTCTCTCGCCTTCCTGCCGAGTTGCGTCATGCAATCTACGAATATCTCAACTTCCCTGTCGGAGGCTATGTCTGGGTCGACTGCCCCGGTCGTCATGACTGTCCTCACGCGACACACTTCACCTTCCACGCCAAGCGCAGGCATCCGCTGCACGTACGCAAAGGGGTATTTCAAGTGCGCCGAAAGATTGAAAGACTACAATTCTCCCGAGTACACTCGAACTTACGGCGCATGCGCGCTCATCTCGTCAGAAACAATGACGATGAGTATCATGATGATAGTGATTCATCAGATGATGAAGACTACTCCTCCTCCTGGGAGAACGACGATGACTGGTACCTTGCGGAGAGTAATGTACTTGGTGTGAACAAGGACATCCGGGCTGAGCTGATGGATCTGGTGTTTGGACGTAACGAAGTCGAATTTGGCGATAACATGCTAGCGATACCTCGTTTTCGAAGTCCTCGTGAGACCCCTCGCCACGTCCGACGGCCAGATCAGATATACTGGCTCGACCTTGAACCTTCGACCTTGACACACATGACGTCAATTGCCATTCCTGCAAGGGAAATAGAGGAACACTGCCGGACTCTTTCCTTCATCATCAAATACGCTACCAATTTGCGACGACTGACCTATACGTGCGCGCCAAACTATCACGTGCCCGACGAGCAGATCATACATATAGCGCAGACGCTCAGAACTGTCAATGTGACTGCGAAGAAGCTCCAGACGCTACGGTTCGTGAGGAAGGGGTACAAGTCGACCCGAAAACCGGATTACATGAGGAAAGGTCGGGAAATGATACTGGAGAGGCCAGAGTCAGGCTTTACTGCGTTGGAGATCTGGCGTGCATTAGACGGGCTCAGGTACAAGCCTATATATGAACCACAGATAGACGACTAAGCTGAAGAACGGGGTCGAGAGGAGGGCGTCCAAGTAGCAAATCGAGCGAGATGCGAGGTTCCATGGATTGGATGGGTCAGCCAAGAATGGAGGGAACTGGGCATTGCTTGAGAGAAGCGACGGGATACCATCGTGGTAGAAAATTTCTAATACACAGTGGTGCGCAAACCTACGTAACGTAATCTATGCCACCTTGTTCGTGACTTCGACGAACTTTTGCCACTCATTGTACGCCGCTCCACTCGAGATTGCCCACTTGGCTCTCCGGACACCTTCTTTCCAGCGTCCACCTCCTGGGCCGACCTCCTTGTTGACGTTCCCATCATCACCTTCGCCCATGTCGCTCGTGTCCGCATCGCAGATACCACTGACGACGAACAGCGCCGCGGTGTTGATGTAGACGAAGTGTAGGATTGGGTCATCCGGTGGAACCTCGCCCATTAGGATCTTCATCAAAATCTGGGCGTTCTGTTCGGGCGATTGTCCAGGACTGACTTCGCTCAGTGGGTGCTCGGGTAGTCCGAAGTCTGCTGGTGTTACAGTGAAGTAGTTGATGTTGGTTTCCCCTGTAGAGGGATCTTCAACCAACCGCCAGCAGTGCGTTGGTCCAGCGCACGAGAGCTCGTCCAGCTCCTCGTCACCGCATATGATCATGCCTTTTCTGCAGCCAGATTGCTTCAGCGACTCGGCGAAGTCGGGTCCAATCTCCTTTCTTGCTACACCCAGTACGCGCGCTTCGATCAAGTCGTGTAGCGGGTTTGCGAGGGGTCCGAGAAGGTTGAAGATGGTGCGCCAGCCCAGTTGCCTTCGGATGGAAGCAGCGTGTCTGGCTCCAGGGTGGAAGATTGGGGCGAATAGGAAAGCGTAGTTTGTCTTTGAGTAGATTTCGTAGATGGTCTTGGGTGCGATGGCGGTGATGACCGGTGGTTTAGGGGGTGCGCAAGACAGGAGATCTGCTGAACCAGAACGTGAGGTCGATGCTTTGTTGCCATGCTTTGCGATCATGAGTAGAGCACTGGCGAGGATGGACGAAGTAGTGCTGATGTTGAAAGTGTTGTGGGAGTCACCTCCTGTACCGACTATGTCGCACAAACCTCCCTGGTAGGAACCCTCTTTCCTTCCTCGTTGACTGATCAGTTCTTGAAGACCCTTGACATCAATGCCTGTAGCATAGTCGCGCATCGCTTTTGAGCATTTCGCCAATACTTCTGCTTGTCTGTCTTGGTCCGTGAAATGGAGACATGTCAACAACGCTCCAGTCTGAACTTCGGATAGACTGTTTGTGAAGATCAAGGAGAGGGCTGCTGCAATCTCGTCGGCTGTCGGTTTGGTCGTCGGTGACTCATGCCACAGTCGTTTGAGAAGAGGTGTGATGGATATTTTGGAATCCTCATCGCCTGCTTCGGTAGCCATGATATGGAATGGTAGTCGTGGTCCTTGCGCGCTTGCCTTACTCCAGCATATGCGAGCTGGCGGGGTAGTTGGTGGGGGATGTGTTGGTAGTGACGACGTATACCAAGTGGTGTTCTTGGTATGTCGAGGTTAGGACCGAATCGATGTGTGATGTAAAAGACCCTGAATCAAAGCAACCAGTTGAGTCACAGCATGGCCGCACGGAGGTGGTTCCAAAGTCCGCACTTGTGTCGCAATATGCACCACGATGAAGGCTCCACCGCGCTAGTCCACAACCCGTTAGCCACACAAAACGCCGATGCCAAGGCCTCCAAAATCTCGACTCAGTGCTCTCGCGAGCGGCTGGAATCTTTTCAAGGTCATGACGGTCAGAGTTTCTTCTCTGACGGACCTTGTAGCTCCACCCTCCGCGACACCGACCAAACCAAATGGGGCAGAAGCGAACCCATGCCGAGACCAAGGATGGCTTCAAGAAGCCTTCTCCGGATAAGAACCGGATGAGCGCGAAGAACGACAGGAAGCATGGCGCGCGCAACGACAAGAAAGACACGCGCAAGGATGGTGACGCGAAGAAGGCGCGGTCGCAGCTGGTGCGCATTATCAAGAGAAGAAAAATTCATCACATTGCTAACTTTGCATAGCTGCTCAAGCCGCAGCCAGAATGGCATGCGATAGAGTTGCCAGCGCTCCCGACCGTCGAGAATCCTACGATCCCGCCCCGTTACATCATCGACAACATCCACGAATATGCCATCAAGCTCCTCGACGCAGAGGCCAGCGAGTATGCCGCAACCCACTTGGCCAAGGACTCATCGCATAAGTTCATGTCGACCGTCATGGAGTCTGGTACCATGGAGGATAAGGTGTCCGCGTTGACCTTGTTGGTTCAAGAGTCGCCGCTGCACACGCAAAAGGCCTTTGGCCAGCTCATGGGTCTATCGCAGAAGAAGAGCAGAAATGCTGCCATGCAGGCCTTGGCTGCGCTGAAGGATTTGCTGGGTCAGGGCGTTCTGCTCCCACCAGACCGAAAACTCAAGGCTTTTGCGCGACAGCCAGGCCTGACCGCCGCACTGCAAGGAAAGAATGTACAGTGGAGAGCAGGCGACAAGTTGCCGGGCGCTCTGGAGAAGACACATCTGATTGTGTGGGCATACGAGGATTGGCTAAAGAAACAATACTTTGAGCTGCTGAAGATCCTGGAAACCTGGTCCAACGATGAGGTCGAATACTCGCGCAACCGTGCCGTCACATATGTCTGGGAGCTGTTGAAGGAGAAGCCGGAACAGGAAGAGAACCTCTTGCGCCTGCTCATCAACAAGCTTGGAGACAAGGAAAAGAAGGTCGCGTCAAGGGCGTCTTACCTGCTGCTCCAGCTCCAGATTACCCACCCGCTCATGAAGAACGTCATCATCAGCTCCATCGAATCCGACCTCCTTTTCCGACCGAACCAGAGTGGCGTTGCCAAATACTACGCCATCATTACACTCAACCAGACCGTTCTCAGCTTGAAGGAGCCCGAGGTCGCCAACAAGCTTCTGGAAATCTACTTCAGCATCTTCCTTGGGCTGCTGAAGAAGCAGAAAGAGCACGAGAAGGAAGAGAAGAGGATAAACAAATACGGTCACGTTCAGGGAGGCGGCGGTCAGCCTGGAAAGATGGCCAAGCAAAAGGCTGAAAAGGCGGCAACCATGGCCTTCAAGGTCGAGGACGAGTCGCGAGAGAAGCTGATCTCAGCCATCCTAACAGGTGTCAACCGCGCATTCCCATTCGCTAAAACCGACGACGCAAAGTTCGAAGAGCAGTTGAACATGATCTTCGAAGTGACGCACTCTTCCAACTTCAACACCAGCATACAAGCTATGACCCTCATCCAGCAGATCTCTGCGACGAAGCACTACTCCGCAGATCGCTTCTACAGGACTCTGTACGAATCTCTTTTGGATCCCCGATTGATGACAACCTCAAAGCACATCATGTTCTTGAACTTGCTGTACCGCTCGCTCAAGGCTGATACCAGTATCAAGCGTGTCAAGGCCTTCGTCAAGCGCTTACTCCAGATCATCCACATGCACGAGCCGCCTTTCATCTGTGGTGTTCTGTACCTCGTCAACGAACTGATAGCTACCTTCCCGACCATCAAGACCATGTTGTCAACGCCTGAAGACCATGCCGATGATAGCGGCGATGAGCACTACGAGGACGTCGATGAGGACAAGGAGCCAACGACTAAGAAAGTGGAAGAGAAGCCTGCACAAGTGACCTATGACTCCCGGAAACGAGACCCAGAATACGCGCATGCTGATCTGTCTTGCCTATGGGAGTTGCTGCCACTGCAAGCACACTACCACCCTTCTGTTCACGTCCTGGCCTCCAAGATTGTCAACCAGGAACCCATCAAGGAAAAACCTGACCCGACTATCTACACTCTTATGAACTTCCTCGACAAATTCTCCTTCCGCAACGCAAAGACCAAGGCACCAGGTATACATGGTTCGTCGATCATGCAGCCTATGTCTGGAACTTCCAAGGCCGCGTCTTACCTCATCACCGCCCGCGACGGCGACCGCACGCACGACCCGCTCAACTCTGAGCAGTTCTGGCGACGCAAAGTCGACGATGTCCGTGTCGACGAAGTCTTCTTCCACACATACTTCGAGAAATCCGGCAAAGCCAAGCAAGCTGACAGGAAGACGAAGAAGAAGAATAAGAACAAGGACGACAGCGATGAAGGAAGCGACGATGATGATGAGATCTGGCAGGCGCTTGTCAAGAGTCGTCCGGATGTTGAAGGCGATGGTGGTGACGATGACGACCTCAGCGACTTCGACATGGACGACATGATGAGCGACGATGAAGCTGGAGGAATGGACGGCGGTGTTGAACTCAACCTCGGTAGCGACGATGATGAGGCTATGGCGGAAGAGGAAGAAGAAGAGGCTGCCGGTGGCCAGCACCAAGACGACGATGACGATGACTTTGAGAACTTCGACCTCGACGATGAAGACGCCTTCATGGACAGCGACGCCGACGTTCCAGTCGAACTCAACCTGGGCGACGATAAAGACGAAGACAAGGACAAGGACGGCCGCAAGAGCAAGAAGAGAAAGCTCAAGAGCCTGCCCACTTTCGCTTCTATGGAAGACTACGCGAAGATTATCGGCGATGACGATAGCGAGTAGCTGGGTCTTCTATAGGGCGTACGGAAAAGCAGGTGCGAGGAGTCAGTCTTGTAGTAATGCTGATGCGATTCATCGAGTGGCGTTATTCGTCTTGTCCATGGCTTGAGTTTTATTGTAGATATCCCATACCCTTGTAATGGACGAGTTCATAGATCATGGCGAGTGTGTTCATCGCTGTTACTGATGTTTGGGTGCATGCACTAGATGTGTTGTTCATCTTGACTCCTACCCATATTCGCGTAGTGCTTCAACGCCCGTCAGTCGGCTCACACCTACATTGTCAAATGTGCAGTGTATTTGTTTGGGTACCTCAAATCCGATCTCTTTGGGTTGAGCCAGGATGTCTGGATACTACAATGATTGCAATATCTAAGCAAGATACGAGAGTGAGATGGAAATCTCACACATCCCGTTATGAAGAAGTAGATGAGACAATGGATAAACCGCTTCTTCGAAAGAGCGTGATGAGTACTTTTCCAGATCTGGCTTTACAAGTTCTCGAGATTCTTGGGCGTACGAGCCAGTACTTACCATGACAACAACACGCCACACCAGCTACAAGAATATAACGTAGAAAGTCCATACATCTGTTAAATAGAATCTACATTCTGTAGAACGAACATCCCATCCACAATCTCTGTCCAGAGTTTGGCGTTTGCGGACGCTTTGAGACAATGAGAAGGGGGCAGATGGCGTGCACTTTAACCCACAGCCCCTTCCTCTCCTCTTATAGCGTTCCACCGTCGCCCAGGTGTAGATGCAGAACGAGGAATTTCACGAACAGAAATCTGGGGGCATATCCAACACCCCCAGAAATCCGCATCTCCTCAACGGACTATCGCCATCGCCATCCCGTGTCTTAAGTCCAACAGCCTCACTCTTTCGACTCCATCCCGTCTCTTGAAGCCCAACAACAACACTCATTCGAACCTCATTCAAACCTCATGAAAGCATCATGTCGTCCTCACGATCACTAAACCTCTGCATCGGCGTTCAAGACCGAGAAAGCCTTCTCGCATGGTGTACCATGCGAATGTTCATGTCAAGGTGTAAGAACCCAAGAAGCCCAAGCACCCCAAGAACCCTTTTCCGATTAATGATCAAGGCCTCGCCCATCCCGCCTCGCCTCCCCCCGCGCACTTCCCCGTTCCGACACTGACTATAGCGCGCGCGTGCAGCCTCAATCTCCGCGTTTCACTATAACTATACCTAATTCGCAGATGTGAAAACTAGTCTATGCAGGAAATGGGCATGGTCTCCCTGCTTCCAAGTACGCGATCTAGATTTCGTATTACCATTACCATTACTATGCGCATTACACAGAAACCAGAAACTAGTCTATGCAGGAAATAGGCATGGTCTCCCTGCCTCTGAGCACGCGATTCACCTCCACATCACCTACCCATTCTATAACAGAAGCCAGAACTAGTCTATGCATGAAATAACAATGGGGCTCCCTGCTTCTAGTACATAGATTCGGCTCAGCCCCGCGTACTTTGCTCTGACAACAACATGACACCTGGGCATGTCCATGGGTATGGTGAGCGGCGAGAACTCCGCGTGAGGAGCATTTACCACTTGACTACTGCGTTTATTCCAGCCCGTGCTGACCAATTTATCACTTGACCATTTCTATAGGAGAAGGAACTAGTGATGCGCGAGATGACTACGGTCTCCTTGCTGAGGATACATATTTCAGGCCGCCTGTTCACCACTTTGACCCAGAGATAAGCGATACGCCGCATTATGATAGTTCGAGTAGTCTGCAGTAGACAGCAAGTCGCGTATGCGATGTCATTACATAGTCTAGACTGAGAGCTAAGAAAGGACAGGGTACGGTCCAGTTCGGTTGAGCATGGTAATTCGTGCCCCAGGCCTGAGCATTTTGTATTTCCGAAAAGGGAAGTGGTGCATGTGCATGAACATTGCGCGACACTCGAAAACCTACTTCCAACACCCTGGCTCTGATCTGAGATGCGCTCCGGAGAAATATTGCTTAAGCGAAAAGTTTATATGGCAGCATGAGAAGGAGATAATGTGCGAGTGCGGGAGCATGCTCTGAATCCGGGCTAGAAGAGATATTGTTGAGAGTTACAAATTACGACGTAGGAGTGCATTACTCCCAGTGTACCGTTGTAACAGGAGTCGCCAACAAATCGCATCTACCAATCCGATGCAACAGCCTGATCTCCCCAGCGGAATTTTCACCCGCCACCAATCCCACGTTCAATCCAACATCCCGCGGAAATCTCAAATGACAGGGAAAGCAATCCATCCGGCAGGTGGAATTTTGGGTACGCCACCCTTACCTCAAGACCATCCAACAACCCCGGGTAACAATGACGGGCATCTCACACATGAAATTCGGGGACGTTGAGGGACATGCATTCTGACTCGGCATCTTGAGTCGCAAAGACCACGAATAGAAATAGCAATTGTGACTACTATACCCCCGGCGATGATAACGTCAAACAATGCAAGTGGGGACCGACCTTCCCGGGATCGCAAAGACTCTCCGTTCGATGTTCGGTAATTAAGCGAAAAAACGGATGTCCCGATGCAACGCGTACGTTTTTCGCTTTCGCGTTGGTGGTCTACTATATGTGGATTTGGTGATCAAGTATGAGGTGGTAGAGTGTCATGGACATCACAAAACGCCGAGGATAAGGAGAAGCGAGCGAAGACAAGGGGGTTGGTTGGACCGCGGATGCAAGGCGATGTGATGTGTGACACGGAGGAGATGCCCGGTAGAAGACGTCAGAGGGACGACTCGTTGCGCTCGCTTATGCCGGTCATGATGCTTGTGAGTCGGCCTCTTGCTCGGTGTAATGAGGTCAGGCTGAGTCTCGACATCGCGAAGGAATGCTGCGTGACTGTTGAGCTTTGCAGAAGGTGTGGATATTCGCTTCAGTTGCTTGGGGCGGAATCTTGGAGGTGTAACTTGATGGGGTGGTTGATGCGCGTCGTTTCAGGTCACCGATGCGCGGTCACGACTCGCATTATTCATGGCGCGCATCATACGATGGTTTGACAGCGGACGGCTTGGTCGCTACCAGGAGACATGCTGGGGGTCGTTAACCCTGCGGTGACTGCAGCGGAGGTTGACCGATAATTGACAGCTACATTTCCTTGGATTGTGTAAGCTACACAAAGAGCAGACCTACGACATGGTTCGTATGTCTTGTAATCATTGCAGGGCATAAAACGATAGTCCAGATCTGCCGTTGTTCAAGGGATAAAATACTGACCAACCCCAACCCCTTGCAAACCGGATACCGACCTATTCCGACATGCATCATGACAACTTCGAAAGGGTCCATAGATGGCGTAATTGAATCTCGCAGGACCATACGCCAGCGTTGTTGAGAATGAGATGGCGCGCGCGCGCGAAGGATTGGCGATCTTCATGAAGCATTGATACCGCTGCGGAGAGCCGCCCCGCACGAATGCGAACCTTGTGTTGGGTTGAGAACCTGGTGCATAATCATTACAACGTGGACCACAGAGTGCTGTGTGTGATCCTAGGGTCGCTCAGTGCTGAGAGGTCGGGAGCAAAAGAAAAAGAGTTACAGTGAACAGCTCCTTCCCACATGGATTGACATGGGTGTAGTGTAAGCGCGGGGAGGCGGGACAACCTAGCGCGACCTGTTTCTCAGGTATGCTACGGTTACTCGGCAACGGTCGACGCCTCCCGGATGGTTGCTCCGGGGCATTCTGACCAATAACGTAGCTTGGAGCGGGGTTTCGAGTAAGAGACCCTCATTCCGGAGCTTGCTCCTCGCTTCTGGAGGGGTCAATAGCTCCCTTGAAAGACCCTGCAAACAATGGTTGAGCTCAAGACGGCATATGTGGAATGAGAGGCGTAAAAACTAATGTAACCAGGAGTCTGGAGTTTGCGCGCTTGCCGTAGTTCGAACGTGGAAGTGAGAGCGACTAGAGTTTGCTAAGATCGGCTATCAGCCTCTGAGAACACGGCTCTTATGACACCGAATATCTTCGGAATATGTGGCACCACGGGACAACTGATCTCAAACCGCGTCGCTTAACGGTTTTTACGTGACGTATGCTTGTTTTGTGGCTAAACCAATATTGATCGCCGATAGGGGTTTGTGTTGTTCATGTCGTAGGTGTTGTGTATGAACCTTGCGATTTATGCGGGACTACTGGTGACAATACGCGTACATGATCTGGAGCTGACGATGGACTATCCAGGGTCCAGTTTGTAGCCAGGAGCTTGTCCAGGGACGTCGCTGAAGGACGCTGGGCATGACTTGACTGGGTAGGAACATGTTTCCCTCTTTCCATGCGGCCAGGATGTTTCCAATTACGGCGGCAGGCATTTGCAAGGCAAGCAAGCGGATATGCATGCCGCGTTGGGCTCTCGCAGTTCTACTCGATACCCATGCACATATGCTAGGAAGAGTGCAATAGCCGATGAATATGCCCTAGGCTGGATAAACGGGAGTGATGGAGGACCATCTATGACTGCTTAGTCACGATATCGTTGAACACTTACAGTTCAGAGTAGCGCCAACCGTGAAAACGCTGCTCGGAGTGTAGTCCAGCCACTCTCATTCGACACAGGGCGGACGACCTGCTAACGGATACTGAGTGGGGTACATAGTTGCCTAGAATAGAGAATTGAGCTCCCTGGAAAATCGGTATACAGAAGATGTAAGGTGGGGCGCGCTTCTTTTGCGACAATGGGTTCACGATGGTATTGGCATCCAAACAGTTCGCAGTGACTATCAGTAGAGATGTGCAAGACGGCGCGAAACGGCTGTTTGGGTCAGATCAAAAGCAAATCCCAAGACGCGGGCGCCATCTGACATCCTAGACGTGTTGATCTTGTGGAGAGCTGAGGCCGCCGGACGTTGAGAGCTTTCGCGCTTGTGAAGACGCCATCAATTCGTCTGCAGGGTCTTCAAGTGGGCGCATCGTCTTGCACCAATGGCGGCTGGGGCATGCAGAGAGATACCACACGAAGAAGATTGCGCGAGGGGAGCATGCGGCGAAGAAGCAATTTGGCTTTAGCTGAGCGCGGTGAGCATCTTGAGTTCCCAGATTAACGAGGAAAAAGCAGCTGCGGCAGGGGCCAAGGGCGCAGTACCGTGGAACATCTCAGGAGGATCTATGGCTGAAGACGAGGCTGGCATTGGTTAAGATCGCATCTCATCTCTCAGATGTTGGGCGGGACGATCACGAAGCACCGGGCTGGTCCACGTGGCTGCGTGGCGCCCTTGCTTCCATCAGCAAAAGAATGGAGATCGCGATGCCAAAGTCGGTGAGATACTGGACTTCGTATCGACAGAAGCGTATCGGCATGAGGTGCAGCAATCACAGCAGGGGACCCCTCGTGTGGCCGGCTGGTAATTTTGCGCACATGAGGCAGCATGGGATTTGGCCATCGTGAGTTTCCCGATAGGGCAGGGCGGCAGTGGGGACCGGTGCCGAATGCGAGGCGTAAGGCACGGGGCAGGAGTGACATCAGCGTTTGTAAGAGAAGATTAACGCCGGGTCAGTCGGCGGCAGGAAGGGGGACTTGGGCGGGCCCTGCATAAAACAGCGATGGGAAAAGGCTGCGCGAGGGTGGCAGAGATCGTGATTCGGGCAGCCTTGAGGGGAGAAAAGGACCGGATGGGTGGTGGCCGCGCAAAGTGAAAAGGAACGAAGCAGGCTAGAGCAGGGAGATCACGTCGATGTGGTGCAAAAACTCGATGGAGGGGTTCGGTCAGTGCTGCGCGGCTGCCGTTTCGAGGACGGCGCGCAAGGTCAAGAGTCTGGCCAGAGGAGTCTATGGGGCTTTTGCCGCTAAAAAGAGCGCCAGGGGCTGTGGCTGATGGCGGACGCCCGACGTCATCTGTTGTTCAAGAATACCGATTCCCCACCAGATGTCCCGATCACTGCTCAACGTCCAGCGCGGCGCTAGGCTGCGAGCGGATAGGTCGGAACGGCTGGCAGGGATGCGTAAGCGGAGAAGACCCTGATTCTGTATTACATCAGACCCAGCGACGTTATGCCGGCGCGTTGTTTTTCGAGTACCGAATGCGCTCGAAAATGCAGACCCTGGGGGCGCTGAGAGGAAGCTGGTATGACAGGCTCTGACGGTCTTGGTACGACTTGTCGCTTGTCGCTGTCGCTGCGATATTTGCGCTGTGTAGTTGTCCAGGGCTGCGGTGTCTGGTGTCTGTGGTGTCGCGATCTGTAGTGTCGACACCATGCGACCGATGCGATACATCATTCCGATGCGCATCCCCAAACAAAACAACTGACTCTTTGACGCCGACACGCACCGGCACCAGGCCGGCGGAGGGTGCGGGTGTGAGCTGGCACAGGGCCTGTTTCTTGCCATTGGCGCCCGAAGGTCGCAGAGTTCCTTGAAACTGCCCTCGAGATCTCGATCTCTCCTGAGCAGACGGCACCTGTCCGCCGCCGTAGCATTGGCCGGCGCAGCCTGCTACCGACGGGCAATCTTGCATGGCTTTCTTTTTCTGCACCACCCATGTTGACCCATGTCGATTGCAGGACCGCTGAAGCTTCGTCCCAGCAACCCAGCAGCACGCTCCGCGGTGCATCGCACTGAGTTCCACGGTGTCATGCGCTGATGCCGCTTCCTGGTCGGTCGCTCTTTCCTAGTGCGCGTCGCCTGCGAGCTGATCGCCGGCAGCCGGGGCCCCTGCCACTGCCTGGCGCTAGCGTCTTAGGGCGGACTGCACTTTCCCATCCCCACGCATGCAATTCTCAGTCCCTGATAGTGCCCTGATCCTGGGACCAGCGAACCCTGTGCTTCTGCCCTGCTTGTGCCTTGCCCAATATAACTTGCTCCCAGTCCCGCATCTGTCGTGTGGTGCTCCAGTAAGCTCTCTCCCAATTCACTCACCACGCCCGCTCCCCACCATCCACACCTGTCTCATTGTCGTGTCGACGTCAGTCGCCTGCCTCGCACATCACTCAAACATCACCCTGTATAAAGCGCCTCAACCACCCGGCCACCACTTTCACGTGCAGCCCATCGCTCTCTCTGCGAATTTGGTCGCTCCCCCACTGGCACTTGTTTGCTCAAAATGGACGCCTTGTCCGGCAAGAATTCGACAGGTCGCAGAGTGTCATTGCTAAACGACGGCCCGGCGCCTCCTCCTCAACTTGTCCGACTTCCCTCCATCACTCCTTCCCTCCAATCCCGGACCTCCAGTTACTCATCTTCACCCCTCGCCTCACCCCCTCGCCTGGTCCGCAGCGACTCTTCCGACTCGACTATGCAGACGCCTTCGCCCATCACGCCTGACTTCTCCTACGAGCCCGGCATGGACTCGCCTGTCTTCGCGCAAAATGGCTTCTTCGTCGACCAGAAGTTCGGCGTCCCCATGCATCAATCATCCGGCCCTCTTCCTTACCACACCAACCCTGCCCAGGCTGGCTACTTCAGGCCCGACCACATGTCTGAACACCCTGATCAAGCGGCGATGAACGCCCGCCCCAAGAAGAACAGCTACCCGTGCCCAATGGCCAAGCAGTTCGGCTGCAACGACTTCTTCACCACCTCTGGCCACGCCGCCCGTCACGCCAAGAAGCACACTGGCAAGAAGGACGCCTTCTGCCCCGAGTGCAACAAGGCCTTCACCCGCAAAGACAACATGGAGCAGCATCGCCGCACCCACCAAAGCGGCCGCAATGCCGCCAAGGGCGGTGAGCGCGACGTCAAGAAGGCCAAACACCAGGCAAAGCGTCCCAAGCCAGCCCCGCTCCAGTCTTCGACGATGCCTTCTTTGTCGCAGCTTTCCATGGTAGACCCGTCGCTTCCCCTCAGCCCGTCCGGATTCTCCATGGCCCCCGCTGTTCAGTCCACCGACTCGTTCCTCGAGTTCCCCAACAGCTCTCGGTACCCCGATCCGACTGCTTACAGCTACAACCCCGCTCCCGCCCAATACGGTGGTCTTGACGCACTCGCCATCGCAGCGAGTGGTGAGAAGCGCAAGTTTGAGTCATAGTCGCTCATCTCATCTCTCTTTCACCGTTCATCTGATCACATCTCTGATCATCTCTTCGGGTCTTCTACATTAGACCACACGATTTCTGGAGCGAGGCGCTTAGGGCTACGACCACGATATCATGGAGTTCAAAAGTCCGACGGAACAATAGACGCATGCCGTCATGGCTACGAACGGACCTTGGCGTTTGGGAGCAGTGCGCATCGACGCACGCATTTCTTTTCTTTTATTGTATATACTACCAATTACTTCGGTACTTGGCCGCGCACAGCCTGTGTCCTTCTTAGCGGTCTCCGCTAGCATCCTCATGTTGCGCAGTGTACGTGGAGGATGTCATTCGAAGATAGGGATTAGGGCTCGGAACAGGCAACATGGATACCCGCCCTTACTCAAGGGGCAACAACCTTCGATCTCTCATAGTTCAAACACATCACGGATGTCCACGGAGTAATGCCGTGGCTTCCGACAGAAAACAATACAAATAATTACTACAAACACATCTTCCACCAATCTGCGTTGTGACCTGTGCTCGGGTGACTGACCTCAACAGTCGGTCTGTACCATGGGTTGTTTGGGACACAGCCGATCACCAACCTTACGGATAGCATTCACTTGCAGTTTTCACCTGCAATGGTGACGACAAGAAACGGCCGCGAACTGCGGATTGGTACCCCGCTGTCAGCTCATAGTTCGTGCCAAACGCACTATTGCCCGCTTCTCAACCATGGCACGCCAACATGTTCAGCCATACTAACATAGCGGGCGCGCCTCCGCGCTAGAATCTCTACCCCTCCAAAGCTTATGCCAGAGTCTCGTCCCATCAACACGCCACAGCGCTCTGATTCCGCCGCGCCTAGAGTCAGCCCACGTCGTCCAACGGTCTCGTCCTCAACCTTTTGGCAGCGACGAAATCATCGGTAGAACCTGACGCTAGCGACCCACTAATAAAAGGCCTTTCACAACGCTGATGACCCTGCAGATCTTTTTCGAGCCTAGCTCTGAACCTTAACGATCTGCACAAGAACCCTCAGGTCCGGGAGCCCCGATTCGGAAGGACACGGCTCCCTGCCCTGCCATTGGCTCGGAAATCGTAGCAGGGCAAACTCTATCCAAACAACAGGCCAGCTCTCCGGGGAGAGAACGAAATTCCCCAACATTGCATCCTAGGAGTCCATTTCCTTGGCTTCGAGGGCGCGTTTTCGACTCGTCAGCCACAATGTACGTGTCGCAAGGCACCCAGCGTCGGTTGCACTGTAAATGGCGCGCCCTGGGTTACGAGTTCCGCCTTGGGAGGGACCCCACATCCGACTTGACGCCGGATCGCGGATTCCTCATGCCCTGCAACCGCTGTCTCGGCTCACTTTCCAACGCTCCTCTGCTTTTGCATCGCAATCTGTGCCCATCGTGGAAATGCTGTCCCCACGGATGAACTGAGTGTGACATCATATCTGCATCAACAACAGCAATCCTCTGCTTTTTGCGTCGTTCCATGTTTCGCGCGCAGTTTGCAGTATCGTTCGGTCGTACATCACGGAAGTTTGCGGATCGGCGGAGCAAGTAAGCAAGTCACTGCTGCGAGGACAGGGCGCATCTGTTGCTCAACCAGCATGCACATGCAACCTGCGAAGCCAACAAAAAAGCGAAAACAAATTGGGTTTCCCCCCCTCAACGACGATCTCGAGGCGCGCGTATGTGTGGCTGGGCTCGCTGGGGTCGGTCGTTCTGCGTTTACTAAACCCGACACGGCATCTTTCGGATATAATAGCAGCAGCGCTGCGAACACGCAAACTTTGGGACCGTGACGCTGTGTCACCATCAGGCTTCCGCTGTCTCTTGCTGGTAAAGTCTGTCTGTGCCCCTGCCGCGGCTACAGCGGGCCAACTTACTGGTTCCACGATGATACTATGGAGTATGTACCTTTTTACTTTTTTTATCTGGAGAAGATAAGGTTTTACTCGCGGATGTGACCTCTCGCATCTTCTGGAGCGAGGTGGTTAGTGGAAACGCTACGGCTATACAAGAGGAGGTAACAACTAGGTTTGCGGACTGCAGTCATCGATTTCTTGCTTCCTACTCGGAGTATCAGCCTCTTTGTTGCCTGTTCTGCCTAATCTCGTTTTCGTTGACGGGCAAAGTTGCCGTTGGCGATTGCGTCCATGCATGGCAGACTAGACATTCCACCTCATGCCACTGCGGCTTTCATGGCTCGTTGCGAGGGCAGAGAGTTGTATGCGGTGGTTGCGTATGGTTGCACGGTAGCCACGCATTCGCTAAACACAACATACTGCAGAGTCGTACCACCCGACTCGCTACACCCAACACTCCTCAGTATACCTTTATATCAGTACACCATGTCTCTCCCTTACCCAGGTAACTCGCACAACAGCACGCCTTCAAGCCCTCCTCCCGCTCTGTACAACATTGGACGCGAGCTGGGAGGGCTGGGACTGGCCCCACTGCGGGATGTCCCTGTTGTGAGACGTTCGTTTATCTGCCTGCAGATCTCAAGATGACTGAGACAGCGTGGCCTGGCTCCAGTAGGCGAGTTTGCGGGGGGAGATGAGATGCATGGTCGGGTCTTTTGATGTTGTGCATCTTGTGCGATGGATGTGTGCAGGTCGCCATCTGCTGTGTATACGGTAAGGGTGTTGGCGGGTTTGCCGCCTTCCCCGTTCCCTGCTCCCTGGCTCGGGGAAAGTGAGGAAGGGTGTTTCCAGGGTGAGTAGGGTGATGTGGAGCTGGCGGGGATGATGTGTTCGTTCCGTCCTCTCCTGCCGAGAGGGTGATGCGGAAGAGGTCACTGACGTCTCTTCCCTCTCGCTTCTGAATAGTATGCAGAGTGTTACTGTCCCTTCTATCCCCACGTTGCTCAAGTTACAGGGCTTGCACAAGTATGCGAGAGGAGCAGCGAGATACTGAAGTTTTCGGTTTCTTACGTCGCACCAGATTAACGCCATGTGCTCATGTCGCACCGGGGACGTGGGCGCGAGGGACGGCCGCTTGGTCCTACGTCGTGCAGTCTCACAACACGAGAAGCCCATTTTGTTTCCACGGCCCTGTGTAGAGCTCGGCTTGCATGTTCGATACGTTTAACAGTAGAGGAATACATACCTTAGTTGTCACTCAGAAGAGCTACCAAAAAATGTAGCGTACGTGAAACATCAAATGAATGAGAGATCAAGCGCAGTCCCAACCCTGAGAGACACACTTCTCCATAAACGCGAGTTGAGACACTCATTAAATGCACGCCAACCACACAGAAACCCTACACGAAGTAAGCAAACACTCATCATCCCACAACATCCCGACCCACCCCACTCCCCTCTTCTCTTCCCTTCCCTTTCCACGGTCGCCCCGTACCACAGCCCCAAGACCCAGGGCAAGCGCCCACCGACCTGTCATCCCCAAAGTCGATCTTACAACCTGCAAGCCACAGACCGTCTAAGGCTGCGACTCAGGCCCCTTATGCCGTGTCACTATGGCTGATACACAAGTGTATCTTTATGTAGAAGTAGGATATGTCGCGCCTGGGCGAAGGGGAATGCACGACATGGTTGGCGAAGGCGACACGCTGTGTTGAGGTAATGGGTAATGTGAATGGCAGGACGGGAGTCGCTCTACGTTTATGACGGATGGGGATGGGATTTTAGCCGCGGGGTTCTAGGGACTTGAAGTCTTCATCATGAGGGACGTTTGTCGTTGTGGGAGTTTTGGGCTGTAGGATTATGATTATGAATGTGGCGATGTTGCTGTGATTGTGGGCATAGAGTGAGATATCACTCCAAGGGGCGAACATGTTCTCAAACGTCACATGTGTTCTCAGTATCTAGTCGTACGAAGTCTTCCGTCTATTCCAATTCTTCAATAGACTTCAGTCAAGAACCGCCCAGCATTATGCAGACGAACACCGTGAAATACACGCGCTGTGCCCAAGACCCTTTCGTCCCACTTCCGCGTGCACATAACCCTATCCAACATTCAGCCGAAATTCAGAACGCAGCCACAGCCGAGCACCAAGAATCACATGAGAAGACAGTCTCGCCAGTAAAAAAGGGTAATGCAGAATAAACTTTGAAAATGTCTTACACACTGCACATGCACGAAGCTGACAACTGACAGGTGTAACTAGCGACAACTCAGATTATCGTCTCGCTACCCTTATTCTTCTGCCCTGCATGCACGCGGTGCAACATTCGCTTCCGAGACCCTTCTCTTCTAGTCTAGTAGAGTAAGACGCGTGTTCCCGCCTCTGTAACCGAGACACACGTAACGACGCGAGCGAGGGTATAACGAAGCCATGGTAGTAGGAAGCAGGTAAAGACGAAACAAGCAGCTCGTACGTCGTGGGAAACTACTTTTAGCATGGTGAGCATGGATGAGAAAAGGGTTCAGTACGCGTGCGTGTGTGACTAGTGTTGATGCAAAACACTGACACGGCAGTCTCGCTGCGGCCCGTCAACCATGCACGTCGCCCGTAACTTTCTCAACAGCATATGTCTTCGCGGCCGCACATGTGAGCGCCTGCAGCTACTTCCCGAACACGAACCAGGAATCCGGAGGCGAGACTGCCTATCGTGCCATGCCAGGGCCCAACCATTGCCATCGCCGGAGTCGGGTGTCTTTGCATGATGGGTGCTGCGTCTCTCATGTGAACTTCGCCATGTTTACATATCGTGCGAAGCTGTGGTCCTCGCTTTGGTCGACGCCGCGGTCGTTGACTGCCTGTCTGTATCGCTCTTTTAGGCCGGTTTCTGGATCATCTGAGTCCATCTCATCCTCGTAGTCTAGGTCTTCGTCCATCATGCCGGCTTCGTCGGAGTTTTCTGCATCGCTGACAGTCTCCGGCTCTTCTTTTCGCGGCTTGCTCCTTGGCTTTGCGCCTGCGCCTCCCACCTTCATGTCCTTCATCATCTTGTCCAACTCTCGCTCACGTGTCGCTTTCTTTTCTTGCTCCCGTTCTGCCCTACGTCGCTCAAGCTCGGGCTTGTAGTCGCGCTCGA